AATCAAACTCTCACCTGCCACAGTGAAGACTTCTCTTTGCTGTCAAGCTCTGGTGTTCTGAAGCTCTGGTACTCAAGTTCAAGGCAGAGATGATCATGGGAGCACCACAGAGACTGCCGAAACAGTCCAGAAAAATAAGCAGTTGTAACAGAAAATTGGCTCATTATTTCAATTCCTGTATTTTATGTCAGGGGTTTATTCTGAGGATTGTACTTGGAATAATAGGAGTTTGGGCTTTTTCTTTGTCACATCCTGTTCCTGGTACATTCAGCATGCTTGTTTCCTGCAGCCAGCTGTTATCCACCCACCTAGATGGAGACAGGTTTGGATGATTTAATTTTGTAGCGCATTTAAAGTTGTTTTTTACCTTGCTCCAGCCTGTTGATGAAGCAAGCATATGGCTTCTATCCTGGGGCCTTTCCTATTGCCATTGTAGCTGTGGAAATCCAAAATAAAAGAAACACCCTGTAGAGTAAGTTTCTGGGATAGATGAAAGACTTTAAAGAGAAGACTGTCTATAACTTCTTTTAACAGCTTAGGTAGGTCTGCTCTCTCTTCTAAAATTGCTTCTCTATTTTTTTTCCTCATATTTTTTTGATATTCCCTATCCCAAAAAGGATTCCAATAGCAAGCAGTGAAAATAGCTGGCACGTAGTGTCAGCCAGGCTTCCACCTCCAAGCTACAGCATACTTCTCTCAATTTAAATTTTGTAATTTTTTGCAAGCAGCCAAAACTTTAAACCCACTAAGGATTAATTACAAGGCTGGGCTCATCAAGCTTTTGCTATGGTAGAACAGAGTTGGAAGTTGATGCAGCTGCTGGGAACTGAACACTGCTGTCTGGCAAACAGCAGCCTCCAAACTTGTCATGGACTTATAGAATGGTTTGAATTGGCAGAGATCTCTAAAGGTCTTCTAGTCCAACCCCTCTGCCACGGACATTTTTTGAGATGAGGTTTTTCACAGTCCCATTGAACCAGACCTTGAACATTTCCAGGGCTGGGGCATCTGTCACTTTCCTGTTCCAATGTCTCATGACAAAACAATTCTTTCTGATGTGCAAACTAAACCCTACACTCTCAGCTAAAAATGTGCCTCTTAGCCTTAGGCCCTGATAAAGTCTGTCTCAGGCTTTCCTACAATCTGTATATATTGAAAAGAAAGCCCCACAGTAAAGTCTCCCCCCAGAGACTTCTGGACCCCAGGCTGAACAACCCCAGCTCTCAGCCTTTCTTGAAAGGACAGCTGCTCCAGCCCTGTCTGACTGGGTCTGTGGCCCTCCTTGATCCACTCCAGCAGGGCGAGCTGCTGTGCTGGCAAGTACCTTGTCTCCCTTAAAGGAGGGGCTATACTGGTTTGTAATTATTCAGTGAGGGGAAAAGCCAATTTTATGCTTGGGAGAGCACTGTTAATGAATAGCCAGGTAATGGTCTGGTTGACTGCAAGGCCTGTCCACCTTGGTGCTGGAAAGCTGGCTGGTTACCCAAGGCCAGACTTGCTGGAGCAGCAGGGCCTGTTTGGCCAAGGTGCCCTGTGTGTGTGCCCTGTGTGTGTGCACTGTGCTGGGCTGAGCACATGCTCAAGGAGGATGGCACCCCCAGCAGCTCTGTTGTGCTTGGTTGTTGGCAAGCCTGGTGGTTGCTCTGCTTCCTGCCTCCCCCATATGGTGGCTTGTTTAAAAACAAGACATTTACAAGGAGCAGAAGTTGTAAAAGTAGGCTAACCAGAGGGGGATTTGCAGTAAGTTGCAAAGGAAGCTTCCTAAGGAAGGAAGCTTGAAGAAGTGAGGAGGGACCCAATACTGGCAGCTGTACCTATACCATACCATGTTCATTCTTGCTGCTGCTCTGACATCTGATCACCTTTGAGAACTGCACTGAGAGAAGACAGGATCTTCCAGCTGCCCTTCCTGTGCTCTGGGGCTGTTTGATCCCACATACCCTCAACAGCAAAACTGGGCAGTACGCCTACCACTCGTCCCTGGCGCTGCTCACCCAGCATCCCCTGGCACTCACAGTGGGATGTGATGGAAGGATGCAGATAGCAGATATGCAGATAGAGGCCCCAAGAAAAGGCAGCATGATGCCAGCACCTGGGTGCTATGTCCTCACATCAACCTCCTATTTCGCTGAGCCTTTCCAGGCTCAGATCCTGTCAGGGCTTGTAGGCCATGACATTTCCTGTATTTCCACTTGAGGCAAAGCTGCTTGCTGATCACCTAGTTGCTCAGGTAGTCCCACTTCTTCCTAGCCTCTGCAGCCCCTAATGTTTGAAGGGAATTTAAAAGGATGTTTGGGGTCAGCAGGTGGCTCTTGTGGGCAAGTGGTCCTGCTTCAAAGTACATTAGTGTCATGCCCATGCAATGTTGGGTATGGAAACACCAGAAAGGAACAAGGTAAGTCCTATTCTACTCTGTTGAAATAAATCATGGTCATTTCAGAAGGCCAGAAGTTACTTTACAAAAAGTTACTTGTTAGTTTTCTCTATGAGCTGTTCAATTGCCAAGGCCCACAGTCCAATTCCTCTGAAGCAGCTGCTCTGAGATTTGTAAAAACCTCAAATCATCAGAATCAATTACATCAAATTTAATAAACTTCACAATAAAGACAGTTAATCAATTGCTACTATTGTCATCTGCCATAGGGGTTCTGCAGCTGTTTTTATTTTAAAACAATCCACTGCTGAAACAGAATATGCAACTGGAATGAAGTATTTTAAATCAAGATGAACACTGTGTGTAGAAAATCAATCTGTAATTTTACCAGGATGATGAACAGCCTTGTTGTCCCAAGCCTGAAAGCACAGCACAGACAATCCTCTCAGTGGCGCTGGCCTGGGAGTGACTCCACAGCCCAGGCTGCTGACAAGCACATGCCAGACACTTCTTTAGTAGTTAGTAGGTGTTTGTAAGTCTTTGTATTAATAATGTCTATTTGCAGGATGGTAGCTTTCCTGCTCTGATTTTCAACTTCAATAAATCTTTATGATGACAATGCATTATATGTGGGGATTTATATTACTTTTCTCTAAGCAAAATCAATTACATTTTAAATACCTCTGGCTTGGTTTTTGTTGTTTTGTTTTTTTTTTTATTTGAAAGTGTGAAAAAAATTGCATTGCAAATGATTCAAAGCTTAAGTAATTTCAAAATTTACATATTACAAGAAATCAATGCTTAATATGAACTACTTGGTACTGCAGTTTGTGTGAGGAGGAGGGAAAAGAAAAAGCCCTGCACCTGTGGTTTGCTTTGTGTGAAAGGGATGAGCCTTTCCTCCCTAAAAACAGGATAAAGATTTAGAACATCATTAGTTGAACCTCTGCAATGCTTTTAATTGTCCCAGTCATGACAGGTGTTCGGTTTTTTGTGCCTTGTTTTGATTGTTTTGGCTTTTTTTAAAATCCGGGAAGAATCTGTGGAAGATCTGTGGAAGAACCTAGAATCTGTGACCTAAAGAACATATTTTTGAGCCTTAAAGAACAGTTAATTGGCTGTTTTGAACTCGATACAGTCTCTTCTCTGCTTTTCACCTAACTGCTTCAGCTGCTACAAAATGCTGGAGTAGACTGTCCACAAGTGTTTTAGAAACTATCCAGACAAATGTAATTCACAGCAAATTTAGCAACCACAGACTTGCTTAAAGATGCAAGAATCTGTTTAATGACTCTGTGGTAACCCAGCGGGGCTGAAGAGCAGCCTGGCTCTCCCTTGAGCGCCTGACACTAACATTTTTGGCATTGCAGATAATTACAGCTTGGGATGAAGAGGATTTTGGGCAAACAGTCTGTGTTATGAGTACAAACTAGCACTCCTAAGTGTAAATGCACCCCAATGTACATCTTAGGTACTTCCCAGCTAACCCCCTTTGTAGATGTCTTATTTGCTGCCAGAACTGCAGCCCAAAGTTGTGAATTCAGCCCCCTCTTAGTGCTCAAGAAAGTTACAGAGTGCAGAAAGGCAAAGAGCAAGGAGCTGCTGAGTACTGAAGTGTAGCAAATGCTGTGGAAAGAACCAAGCTTTACCAAATTTCAGGTCTTACACACCTCAGAGCCCCAGCTGGGCTAGGGACTGTGCAAAGAGAAGATCAGAACATCTTTTCCCACTAGGCATGAAAATCTGCTGCTAAGCATCTGAAAAACTTCTCTGGCAACAGATGAAGTACTTTGACACTTCCTGGTTAGGGGATGGGATAATCCAACATCATGGTTGCAACAGGGGTGTTTAAAAGTTTGCTGAGGGTTGATCCCAATTAACTCTGGTCAGTCCAACCTCACATCCACTGCTAGCATGTGGCTTTTTAGATGGGGGGCACCAAATGCCCATTACTGCTGCTCAGTGCACACATCCAACAATGTTCTGCTGCACTCAAGAAGAAGTTGGCCAATTCAGTGAATCTGTATATTTTTACAGGTATTTTCAGGTAGTTAGTTACCTATTAGACCATGAAGCAAGGATTAACTGAGTGTACAGATAGCTGGCTGTGAAACACTTCACCAACTTAAAGGAAAATCAAGCAAATTAAAAAAGGCTGAATATAATAAATTGTAAGTACATAGGGCTTGTGCTCTTAACTGGCTACTGACACATCCTCAGGCTGCAGCAGGGGATCTCCAGGTTGGATATCTGGAAGGATTTCTCCACTGAAGGGGTGATCAGGCATTGGAATGAGCTGCCCAGGAAGGTGGTGGAATCACCATGCCCTGAAGTGTTCAAAAGACAACCAGACATGGCATTGAGAGCAGGGGAACTTTGTTCCCAAGTTGGACTCAATAGTCTTGGAGGCCGTTTCCAACCTTCATGAGTCTATGAGCCTTTCCCCCTTCTTTTGCAGGGAAGTGAAAGGACACCACATTGAATTTAAATTTTCTCACTGTGTTTCCTACTGGAGTACTATTCAGAAACAAAGGGTTCAGTACTGTCTACAGATTGGTCATCTTTATCATCAGATCCTTTTTATGTATCAATTCAACAGCACAATAGCATTCCAGTGGGAATAAAGTTGTGGTTTTTGTCAAAATCATTTTATTAAAGAGTTAATGTCACAACAAGCTTAAAATAACACATGCTTCAGAAATAAACTGGATGAAAAATTCTCAGAACAGAAACAGAGATGGATTGAAGGCATGGTAAAGCATCAGTTCCAAGAAACTTCTGCAAACAGGTGCAAATTCTGTTGGTACAATGGAGAAAAAACTCAGAAAAAAAAGCCTCCTGGGCATGACTTCTCTTTATGTAGTGCAGTTTGTCAAAGAAGTTAGATTGGAAAGGGCACAATTTTGATGGCTGCACAGACCCAAATTTACTTCTTCAATAATTAGCTCCAGCACAGGTTTTTCAACTGTGAGTACTAACAAAACAAATTTAGTTGACATCTCAACATAGCAGTAATAGATATATTATATACATGATAGATGTTTGACTCATGCAGCCTCTTCAGTTACATGATTTTTTTTTAAATTTACTCAAGAAACATTATAAAAAAATAGGTTTCCAATTTGTATTTCACTCCGGTGTTAGCTCCACATCACCCCAGGCAAAGACAGTGTTGCAGCAGACAATCTAATTTGGCAAGAAATCTGCCCTAATTCTTAACCTCATTTTTGTAAGTCCACATAGAAAATAAATGCGAACTCTTTATACAAAACAAGAGCAAATAACTGTACCTATAGAAAAGGGGATTCATTCCCTTTAGTTTTATTATCATGGCACATTATAATTTCACAACAGCATACTAATTTTCATTTAGTTTTTTTTAAACTCCAAAATAGTGTTGATGAAGGGAAGAATGTGAGTTACCAGAGGCAGCTGACTCATGCATTAAGCAATTCATGTTCTTTATCAGTTTTCCCAACAGCATCAGGATTGGATAATGGGTCAAGGTCAGCAAAGAGACTGAACCAAGCAGTCAAGTCTTTAGGATTCTTTGTAGATTCTGGAAAAAGAAAAAAAAAAGAAAGAAAAAAGAAATGCACAGACTTGTCAGCTATTTTAAAACAAAACTGACTGAATGTTTGACTGAGGTCAAACAAATGCCATGCTATTGTTTAATTTATTACCAAGGACATTTCTGACAAGAAAATCAGAATGACTGATTACATATTAAAACACTATCTTTGTCAGAATATAGAACTTTAGGAAAATGAGTGTTTTACATGTCTGTTTTATATGGCTCCTGTCATGATAAATACAGGAACCCTTTAACTAGAAACAATCTCACTGTCTAGCTTTGTTTTATGAAAGGCATTTGAGTGTGCCCCTGCATTCCTGCAAACAAGCAAAAGGAAAGTGAAGGCAAATTTTACTTTCAACCTCTCCTACAGGACTAAATTCCTTTGCCTAAATCCAATTCATGTGACTGTTCAGTCTCCCCTGTATGCAACAACCAAGGTCATTACTCATCTGGAATGAAGTTTTAATGGGAAGGCATTGGCTGGAGAGAGAAAGAGAGGGGTTATATTTGATAAGCAGTCCCCAGTACAGCTTCTAGTATAATTCTGATGGATATAGACAAGATGTGAATAGGGAATATATCCAATAGCAGCTGGACTACTGCACCTCTGTGTCCACATTGATATATGTATTTCACAGAGGTCTCCTGCCCACTTTCATTCCAACGGGGCAGATGTTCACGTTAAAGCAGGAACAACTTTGGCTGCCATGAAGAAGATACATCTCCACTTGCTTTGTTTTTGTGGCCCTATGCCCAATATGTATTGCAGTGACTGTGAAATAAGATATGCTCTTCTCTCAGAGAAGTAATGGCACATGAAAGCTTTCTTGGCAACACAAAGAATTTACAGACAAAATAGGCTCTGGCTGGCATGACACTCCTCTTGGTACCTGCCACTTCCAGAACTACAGGTTCCAAATAGTTGGAGGCCATTCCTTTTGCTGGTGCCAGTCCAGTGGCTGCGTAATCACACTGATTTTCCAGTTTCCAAAACACCTTAACGCTCTTTTCGTGTTTTCTGCTGAGCTCAAAAAATCTCAGGGGAAGGAGTACACATCACTCCTTTCTTCTGTATTATCAAAAGTGAATGCACAGAATTGGCTACAAACTGGCAATGGAATTCAACATAATTCTGGTTCACTTATCCAGAAAATCCTAGTCAAAAATCAGCAGGCCTTTGTCTCAGTATATGGTAGGACTATGCACTCAGCTCAGTTGCAACAACTAAATTACATTTTAAACAGATGATTACTGATATCATGTATGTTTAAAAAAAAAATTGCAATTTAGGGCTCTTCTGCCTTTTCAACAGCCTGTATTTTAGCCACAATGCTAAATTTTAGAGCTTAAAAACATTGTTTAGCTCGAAGTGCATGCAGATACTAGTCTGTGTTACTCAAAATTAAAGAAAGTAAAAGAAAATGTAGCTTCCACTCCTTTGTTATACAATAAATTACTCTTTTGACATGCTATTAGCACTAAGCCTACCAAAAATACACATACACACATACCATACACCTAATCAAGGTGAAACAGAGTAAGCAGGGAGCACAAGACTGAGCTGTAGCTACTACAAAAATAAGTTTTCTTACCACAGTAACAGAGAGGACATGAGACATTACACAAGATACAAGAGTTAAAAAGGAAAAGCCAAGTAACTGAAAAAAATACATGACTATCACCTTTCACAGGTGTCTTGTCATCGTTCACATTCAGGCTGTGTGGTTTCTGTGCTGGCTGTGGTATTGACGGTGGGCTCACACTGCTGGCTGCCCATCCTAAAATTCAGTAACACAGCAGCATTAGCATGAGGATTACTTTGTTAACTCAAGCACCCAGCGTCTGGCAGCATCAGACAGAGGAGCAGAGTATTACGTTTATGGCCATTCATATTTGTCCTTGTACACACAAAGTCAGCAGTCACACCTGCACAGGAACAACACCCTTTACAAGAGACTATCTGTAGATCACTTTCATCATCTCCAGATTCAGGCAACTATACTCTTTTCAAACCTTTCATCTGGCTAGAAAATATTTTTGTTTCTCTTATTGAAGCACAGTTAATACTCATTCACAGAAAGGTCATTTCAGTAATCAAGTCAAGCAGAGCTGTAGGGAAAAGAATCACTCACATTTGGGTGGGAATACCACATATAATAAACATTTTTTCCAAGTCCAAAGACTTTCATTTCATCCATTGTTCCAGACAAAACCTTATTTAGAGACTCTAGATTTTTTTAGTTAGTTTTGTAGTAATTGTGGAAAAAAAGATAATTCATTGCAAAACACTGAAGAATTAAATTCAAGATTAATTACTTCAAGTTAATTTCAAACTACATTTTAATGGAGTATTTATTTTTGCTCTTTATTTGAGAGAATAAAGCAACTATGCAGGAAAAAGTGAAATAATTTTTTGTTCTTACATGCATATATCCACAGAAGAGTAATGATAAATACAGTTCATGAGGCCAGATGAACAGGCTGGCAAAAAAGAACTAGGGGTAGTATACTACAGAAACACATTAGGAAAAAAACAAAATATTTTTTGTCCCTTGCTTAAGATATTTAAATGTATGTCCTTTATTATATTTAGAGGACTGGAGATAGTATTTCTAATTTAATTAATATATCCTTTAAATCTGGCCTGGTCAATTATCCATCTAATTTGGCAGTATCACAAACAGTATGCTCATCTATGCACTCAGTTACTATTTCCTTATTCAGTCTCTTTTTTCTACAAGTTCATGCTTTCACATCCTTTTTGACTCTTTTTGTCCTTCCTTCCCTTACTTTCTGCTGTTCTGGGAGCCCTGTCAGATATTGGCACCCAGCATCCTGACATGTAATGCAACAACCACATCAGTAACATCAACCCTGCCTCTCTCAGTAGATTAATCTCATCACTCTCTGATCTTACCTTGCCTATAAAAGGTCTAAGGCCCAAGCTGTCTTATAAAAAGAGGCAAGGAGAGTTTTTCTGTAAAATCACATGAATTGGGAAGGAAACTTAAAGCCACAAACATCCTCTGTGTCTCTAAGGAAACTAACCAAAAACTTCTTCAAAATCTGGATGCAGAGTGCTCACATGTATTTGCTCTAGACAAAGGTCATAAAGGCTTGTGAGCCAGCCTGTGCCCTCTGGAAGTGAGGCTTTAGAGTTTAATCTTTCAAATAGGCAAATCTGAATGACAAATAATGGAAAGCATGGCATTACCCCTTCAGAATGACATACTTCCCCAGGCATTTTCTCTGCTTGTGTTACAAACAAGAATGGCAGAGGACATTATACACAACTACAGTAGACTGCAATGCTTTTGTGTTCTTGGACATGCATTGTGAGAAAGTGTTTGATATGGCAATGAATGACAACAGGTAAATTCAGCTGCTTAAACAAAGAGGGCTAAATCCTAATCTGATAGAAATGAATGGGAGCTCTGCCAGAAACTTTCTGTGCAAGTCCTAGTGACTTCAGAAAGATCAGGAACGGGGGCTCCCTGCGGTATCACTGATGTCCCTTTACACTGAAGTGCTTAGCAGGGCAGCAAGCAAAACACTTCAGACCAGTGAACTCCTTTGGAGCTCTCCCTCTTTTTGAATCCCTGGACTAAGGCCTGGTAGGCAGCACATGTGTGAAAGATGCTGTGGCCTGGCTGTCATTTAATGAACTGCAAGTAGCTCAAGAGCCACTCAGAAAACAAGAACAACCTAACAACAACAACAAAAAATCCAACAAAATACACTCCAGAAAATATGTGATGCTTTCATAATGAAATTACTGATCTATGAAGGTACTGGGAAAGACTGACACAGAATTTTTATTAAATACTTTCTTTACTTGTATTTTTTGTGAGCTACAGAGAACAACTTTGCCTTTCAAAACCAAACCACAGCCTATCAGTTTGAAAGTTGTTGTTGGCCCTAAGCCTGTTTTGGTTTGCCTGTTTCACAGGATGACTTTGTTACGTGACCAGGCCAAAAGGTTATTGCCAAGACAGCAAGGAAACAAAACAGCTTGCTGTTCAGCAAGCATCTTCACCAACATTGCAATGATTAAATTTAGAAATGATAATGGTAATCTGTGCATTTTCTTACCAACTAGAATATATGCACATGTAGGGAAGATGAAGAGGATCCTCAGTAGTATGAATGAGTAAGTAAATGAGGCCATAAACATCATGAAAAGAGAAAACCAATGCTCCCTCTGAAAAAGTAGGAAGGTAACTGAACTACAGAGCTGTGTCTGGAGGAGAACCTAAAAGATATGTTGGGAGCATGCTTTGTTTCTATTATACACACCTGCACGCACACATTTATATGTATTTTAAGCCAGTACCTGGTAGTCCCATAGCAATTCAGAGTCCCATTGTGCTGGATCCTGCCTATAAATACATCTAGAGAAAACTCTGAGCTGGGAATTCCTGACTATAACAGTTTATAACCTGCATAGCATTGTGCCTGTTTTACAGATTAAGATCTGAGGCAGAGAGAAAACAAAGCCCCAAAGATTTATGAGCATGCTTAACATAAAATAAGTAAGTAATCCCACTGAAGTTAATAGAAAAGTTAATGTGCTTAAAGTTAAGCATGTGAGTTTTAAGAATCTTTATGATCTTAAGGCCAAATTCACACAGGAAGTATGCAACATTGAGGCTACAGTGTAGCACCTCACATTGAATAATTATTAAGCAATCCTAACAGGGGAAAAAAAAATTGCAGGACATGTATCAGAAGTCCCCAGTAAAAATTTAATTCATATATTATAATATTTACAACTTCTATGTCTGGATATGCTTATATCCAGTTAGTATTTAAAAAAAAACAACAAAGGTTTCTCTTCCTATATCTAACGATAAGGTCAAATTCTAAAATAAATGTTGTGAAGTGAAATAAAATGTAGTTTAAGATTCAAGCTGAGTTTTTACAGGATATAAAATGGACCAAATTTCATCTTCTGTAAAAAAAAAAAGAAACAAAAAATTTGGAAATATTTAGAAAGATAAAACTAAACCAGAACACTTAGGAAGATTAGTTTCAGATATAATCATTCAGCTGATCACCCCTGACTTTTCAAATGCCAGTACATCAATTACCACAATCTTCTGCCAAAACCTTGGATCCATTTGAAAACATGCACATATTTTACCTTTTATTCTTTTTTACTCAAAAAGATTTTAGCATACCATATTGACTGGAAAGGATTTTCCATTTCTAGTATTCCTTGAATGCAACATTACTGAATTCTGATCCTGAAGTCTCTAGCACTGCACCCAATGCCAGTGCAAATGAAAGCTAACAGCAGCTAAGAAAGGATGCACAACTCTGCCTGTTATTTATACCTAAAAAATACTTTTCCTTTAAAAACACATTTGCATTTAAGAATGGAAATTACATGGAAATGTAAAATATATTTAAAGATATGTAAAGTTGTGGAAAAAAAATATCAATCTCATAATATTTCTGTTGCTATTTTTAGTAATTTGCTTAAAAATCGTGTACCTTATAAAAGAATACATCTAAACCTGTGCATAATTACAAATGTCATTCTCCCACTTTTCATATAAGTTCTGAAGCCAATGAACCAAGGTGTCTTGCTCCAGGGGTGCTGTTAGCAACTGTATTAGTTCTAAAGTAAATATGACTTTCTTATTCCTGCCAAAATGTCACAGGTTATTTTACATCACGTATGACTCGTCCAGTTGCAGGGGTTCTAAGAAATAGTCCCCAGGATAGGATCAGCCTGCTACTCTTTCCTATATTGCTCCTCCCCAGGTGAGATTTAAATGACTTGGGACAGAGCCCAAAAAGGCAAGGTCCCCTCCAGCTTGCAAAGCCCTACAGAAGACCCAGCAAGGAGGACAAAGGTGGGTGCTGTTGGCTGTTTATCACCAGCCTGCCTTCCTCCCTCCCTTCCTTCCCCAAGGCCAAAGCAGCAGCAGGAAAGCACTGGCCTAGTTCCCCTCTTTTCCCCAGCAGTAGCTTGGAAAAGCCAAGAGAATTAACTGCACAGAATAAAGAGGAGAGGAAGAGTTGCATCAGTAACAAGCCTGCAAGAGAAATCTACCTATATGATTGCTGAGACAACCCATTCTGCCTGACCCATATCCCTACATGCAATGGTATAGGTTGCTTGAGGGGGTGGGAAAAAAAAGAGAATTCAACTGATTTTCACTACATGGTTTAAAAATAGTATCCTCAGACAAAATATAGTAATCATTTTTGGTTCCTTGGCCCCTTAATAGAGACAGCAGTTGTGATTTCATCAGTAAAACCCACTCAAACATATTTTCTGTTTCACGACGAAAAAAGATCTCAAAGTTCTATAGAACATTTCAAGAAATTCAATGAAAACATTCAAGGCAGTAAACCCTGATAAGTTTTGGGTATTTCATTCAAACACTGAATGAGAAGGGCTAGAAAAATAAGTAAGTTACTCATGTCTTTTTTTTCTCCAGGAACAATTTCTGCAGCCAGGGCACAATATAAACTTTCACCACACTTTTACATACCAGAAAACCATACTCTAAACTCTAACCCAAACATACTGACAGAACAAGATGAGCTCTCACCGTGTAAAGATGACTGCAAGTCATTCATGTTTTGGTCTAGCAGCTGTGAGGGCAAGTAGCCTGATGGTGCTGGTACTGCAGATGATGAAGTGTTCTCCCCATCTCTAGCTGAAGAGTTCATGGTGAGATCAGCAGCCTGTCCAAAAACAGCTGTCCACTCTTTGCTAAATTCCCCCTCATCCAAAGATGAGGCGTTGAGGATCTCATTTAGTAATACCATGTCATCCTTATCACCAGGTTCTGGCTCCAAGGATCTCACAAACTTTTCCTTTGAAGCTGTCTCAGAACAAGAAAGTCAAGAGAAATAAATTTTTTTAGAGAAAGTAAAGAAGGAACTTTTAAAAACATAGCCAATTTAGGCTAGGTATAATATTTTTGCATGAATATTTGTTTTCTTTTTTATACTCAACTATTTTGGACATCTGGGTTTATACCTTATGCAACAAATAATTCCTTCATTGTCTTAGATAACCTCACTGCTGTTAAGACTCGCTTCTCATTAAAAATACTACAAGTATGCCTAAAAATCTATTAAACACACCAAAATCATTACAGAGTCTAATATTTGAATCACTGGAAAATACTACTCTTATGTTGCTTCTTGAAACATTTTATGAAAGTCTCAAAAAAACCCCAATTATAAACTAAAAAAAAAAATAAATTAAGACTTGGGGATTTAAGATCATCCTCATGACCTTCTGATCAATTCTTGACTTATTGGGGTACTTGCCCATAAAAAACGTTAGTCTGTGACACAGAGTGAGATTTCTACACTGATCAGTGCTGTAGTATTTTTTTTCTTCTCATAAGCTGCTGAGAAATAATTGGGGCTCTCTTTCCTTCTGATTTCCTGTACTAATTTTTCAGCACCAGAACTGCAGCAGAAGAAGCTCATAGATTACTTGAGTCACTGCTCCTTAAAAACATTTTTTTCCTATTTTAGAAATGTTAAATAGTTATATATAACACATGAAACTGGGAACCAGGATCATTATCCTTTTTCAAAATATTTTGAGAGTTAAAGAACTATCAAGAACCCCCAAGTGTTATTTTACTTGGAAGCATCTGGAGCTCCACTGTGGAAGTCTGCAGATCACAAAAATGGTGGTTAACAAGGCTGATAAGGTTACATTCCTGAAGCCCAAATCAGTTCATCTTAATTATGCTTGCCTCAATCTTGTGGTAAGGCACAGAAGCAACTTCAGTTTTCCAAAGCTTGGGTAGATCAGCTGAACTCTCCAATTTGTATTCAACTTAAAAAATGCTTTTAACCCTTTTGGGTCGGGATAAAAGATTGACAGTAGCAAGTATTTGCAACAGGCCATATTAACTGAAACTCAACAGCCTTCTCAGAAAAGTTTCTTGGTAACAGCTGTAATAATTTATAATGAAACGGCAGAAGTTGAGTCATAGGAGGCAAAAAAGCTCAAAACTGTGTTTTAAAATAGGCTCATGCGTCAGCACACACACCTACGTACTAAGAAACAAATAAACCAACACACAAAATTATTTTATTCATTACTTATGTCATCTGTGAGATTCAACTCCTTTCTAACTCACATTTTGGTATACCTCTGTACTCCCTGACAGGGCCTAAAAATTAGAAATAGAAACATTAGAAACACATCAATTCTCCTGATGTTCCCCCTAGACTATAACTAAAATACCACAGAAAACAATTTGTTTTTATGAATATTCAGGGTGTTTTGCCATCTTTAGATGAAGGGCAAAGAATATTAACATTGTCCAAATACCTCCAATTCCCCAAAGTTTTTCAGCAGGTAAGACAAAGGGGTAAATCCTCCCGCAGGAGAAACACACCTGCTATTTCAAAGGCCCTTAAGAGCTCTGAGCTCTGAAGGGCACCACCACCCCAAGCTGCTCTCAGGAAGCCCCTTCATGAACTTGCAGGGGCAGATGCAAAGGGAGCAGCATTTGTAGCAGATCTGCTACGACACAGCACCAACACCACATGTAACCACAAGTGCCCTGAACGGAACAAATGCAGCAGCACAGCTCAGAGCCAAGCTCTGCTTCATCTGGGGAACCATTGCAGGAGCCATATCTTGACTTTAGGAGCAAGTACAACTATAAAGTTTTACATGTGAAGAGCAGCCAGGTTTTGCTGCAGGGTGTACGACCACCAGAAATCTGAGGAGTGATACATTTTATAGCTCAGAAATCTTCCAGATCTTCCTGTGGGGACTGTGCACCCGTGGCAGGGCAGGATAGGGTGTGTTCAGGCTCAGGCTGCCCTGAGTAGGCAGCAGCACCAAGTTTTACTCTTGTTTGCAATAAAGGTTATCTAGAAACCAGTCTTGCTTACCGAGATATTATTCTTGTGGTATCTCTGCTAGATTACTAGAATGATAGGGACTTTCTCACTTTACCCATAAATCTTCTATTATTTCTTTTCCTGTTTCTGTTTTTACCGCCCATTTTCAGTCAAAATCCTTTCTTCTGTCTGCACATGCTGCCCCAACCTTATAAATGCCTATGAAAAAAATCCAAACCTTCCAATAAAACACTAAAAGAACAATCTGACTATATTCTTTTTGTACTTGTTTGAACAAGCCTCTAGCAATGCTCACAATTCCTTTGTAAACATACCTCATTTTGCTGCTATTAAAAAAAAGGGAAGAGAAACTAAAAATATTTACAACAGTACATGATTGGCAACACATGATAAATAAAGACTTCCTTCTGAAACACACATGAAAGTATACCTCTACCTATACTGTTCCACTTAAAATAGTACAATATTCATTAGGCTAAAGCTAGCTAATGTGTAAAATTTGGGCGAATTGCTGATATTTTAGCAGTGCCATAGCCATCCTTAACCGATGCAGACACCCTCACAGCAGTTTTTGTATTAATTCAACTGTTTAAGTAATGAAAAAAGTGTTCTAAGTGACACAGCTAAGCTTGTATGAGCAATAATTTCATGTATTATCTGCATCTCCACTAGGAAGGCCCAACAAGGAGTGAAACTGAGAAAGAAAACCAGAAGAAAAAAATGCCACTATCAGACATGCACTGATCTTTTTTATTAACCACAGAAAATAAGTCATTGTTACCTTATCTATTCAGCAGATTAGGGCTGCTTCTGCAGACAGCTGAGGAACTTTCCTGGTGCCTGCCTTCATGGGTGATTCCCCACATGGATAATTTCCCCCCAGTGTAAGACACTGCCCATGGCAAATCCAAAGTCAAGGTATTTGCAAATGTCTTTACCTACCATGAATGCAGTGTTTTAAATACCAAAATGCTCTCAGTTTGATTAAACCACAGAAAGGGATTTTTTTTTTCTTTGCTTCATTTGAGTTGCCACAATTGTTTTGGTTGCTAAAGTTTTTTTACTCATTCTTCTGAGATATGAGTGAAAAGCAATTGAAAAATTATAGACAACACTGACTTCTTATGATAACTTAAAAAACTTTAACCCAGATATTTCATATGTTATCTGGTAAAACAGCACTTCCCCTTGAGCTGTCAAGGATCTCACAGAAGTGTAAGGACAGCACAGTGGATTCAATTAACTTTGTCTGAAAGAACACCAGTGCTTACATGATTTTAAGAAAACTACATTATTTGTTTCTGATATGTACATTTTTAACACAAAGTATTGTGGCTACTAGTGTATTGCCAAGAGCTGTAGCACAACTAAAAAAACAAAATGAAAAATTTGTGAAATGTTATAGGAGGGGTAAGGTTTACAATGGAACCTATTTCAGTTGCACAAATAGTATATAATCCAGTCTACCTAATCTTGAATTACCTGGTATAAACATTTTATCCCCAGTAAGGTTTACTTCATATTGTAACATCATGAATAGTGCCTCTGCTGAGTTTCCTTTAAAACTATTTCAATACTGCAGCTATTTAAATACAGCTGCATAATTTCATTCCACCTGTCAGACTTTGAAAGAAATTAAGATCTAAAATTAAAAGTACACTTGGCTACTATGGTTGAAAAGCAAATGAAACAGACATGCACAGTCATATCATACCATTTTCTTCAGGTTGCAGGTCTAATAACTCATCTATAGCACCTAAAAAAGAAAAAAAAAGAACAAATAAAGAAATAGTAAAAGCCACAAAGGAAGATCTGCAGCACATTGACAATCAGTATGTAAACATGTAAAGATAGTTTTCTTAAGTGTTTTCACCTGAGTTCTGCTCGTGGTTACAATGTCCTTGTAACGTGGAGATGACATCCTTGCCATCATCAGCTGTAATTGAGATCCATAAACATGTCAAATTGCACTTGGCAGGAGACCATGCTTATAAACAATGCCACTATAAGATCAACATGCAATGGTTGTTGGGATTCATGTTTTGAATGAGTCATGTTTAAAATCAGCCTGGTCACAATGAATGGAAGGTCCAAGGTACATGCATTTCAAAGTGAGGCAAATTTCTGAGTAACAATCTGAGGGAGATCTTGAGTCCCTGCCTACTACATGACCCTCTCCAGGCTGAGCACACCTAACTAAGGCAACTGCAATAATCAGTCCTCCAGAAGCAGAGAAATTTATTTTAGAAGCTCATACTTAGGCCAGGAAAGCACAAAAAGTGCCAGAACCTTGTCACTCTTTAAACTGCCTTCCTTAAAATATGTTCTTCCTCATGAGACAAACTCTGGGAACAGGGAGGAAGAGTCTTCACCCAAGGTACCCCAAGTCAGGATGCAAGTAACAGCATCTCTTCTGCAGGGAAATAAATGGACTAAGACCATCAGGGAGTCAATTGTAGAGCTGAGAGATATAGGCTGTTAGAGGTGACAAAACAGCTTAAATTCTCAGCAAGCTTCTTAGATGAGACATGGAGTCAAAACAATCATCTAGATGCTCTTTATCAGTGAAGAGAAAGGTACCTCCCTCAGGTGATTAACCCCATCTAAGACATATAGCAAAACATGAGGGATGAGTTACTGCTGAATATGTCTTTTTCTCCCTTATTAACTGTTGAGGAAGTCTAGCTACTAGACAATCCCTTCCAAGAGAATCTTCCAGGTGTGTTCAGAACTACATGAAACAGAACAGCTTGCTGTTTGCATCATTGTCTTCATAAGGCTTTGCTAGGACAGAAATGTGCTCCTAGCACATGAATCAGCTGTTTGTTTAAGAACCCATGAGCACATCTGATTATACTCTTTATAGATATAGACAGGAGAGGGATAAACACACATGAACAAATATACTTGATGCTTTTATAAAAGCACAATGCACAAAGCTAAAGGGGAAAATCTCAACCCTTAAACTGTCTGGCAGAGGGTTAAAAAAAATCAGAAAGAGTTCTTCATCCCTATTCATGACAGGTGGGATATGGATGGCCACAGTTCTGTGACGAAAAAGGTAGAACTGTTGCCCAAAGCCTGCCTTGGCTGAGT